GCTCCTAAGGTAATGGTGCAATTGGGTTATTGCAGCTCCTAAAGAAGCACGGTTGGAAGGAAGGTACTGGTCTGGGAATCGCCAAACAGGTGAGCTCTTTGATTCTGGCAATTGGTACTTTTTGGTCAGTTACTTTCTGGTGTAAGATTTCTTATTGACTTGATGTCTTGATCTATCTGTGTCTGCTCAGTTTCCAGTATTGTGTTAGTTATGTTATTGTAGAGGGATGGTGTTACTTGTATATACATGCTCTCCAAGTGTTGTTTCTGTATATTACCAAGAAGTTTGCCAATATGTATGTAACTGGTCAATTTACAATTTGATTTGTTGTTTTTAGCCATCATATTCATTATGTATCATTTCTTTGACAATTTCCCTACGTGCAAGCAGGGGATACTGGTGCCTGTAGAAACGCAAGTGAAACATAAGACGCTTGGACTTGGAGCAGAAAACTCACAGAGACAAAGGAGAAAGGAAACAGAAATGTCTCATGCTACAATTTCTCAAAACAGTGAAAAAGTAAGTGATGTTGCACTTGATTTCACTCTTCTTCAGTCTCTTTAATTTGTGCTTGCTCTACCGATTGCCTGGAGTTTTTAAATCTCTTACTGATCTGAGACATGGTTTATGAAATTTATCTACATTTCTGCTTCATCTAAGCTATTTACATTGTGGAACCGTTCAGTGATAGAGGATTGGAAGTTTTGGGTCTGTTTCAGTTGTGATGAATAGACTAAAAGAAGCAAGGAGAATTGTATGTGCTCTCAATTTTTTATTTTTTTGACATTGAGTTACTGAATCCAGGTGTCAAACGCTACAGGCGAGTCGGCTGGATCAAGCAGTTCATGGGCTGCTATCAGTTCTTCCAACATTGGGTTTCAGGTACTTATGTCGAACCATGTTCTATCTGGGATGTTTATGTTTAATGTGTTTTTTCCTATATTGAAATGGTCTATGTGGTGTTAAAAGCAGTTGTGTAAAATTGGAATATGCAGCTCCTAAAGAAGCAAGGCTGGAAGGAAGGCACTGGTCTTGGAATCGCCGAACAGGTAAACTCCCATTGCTTGTATCAATTCTGGTTCTGTCTAGCTGCAGGATCACATTTTCTAATGCAATGTCATCGCCATGAATAGGAATGTCTTATTTCTCTCAGTTGTTTTCAAGGATCATTAATAGGTTTTTTCCATATTCTTGCTATATTGTGTAATATCTTGTTGTGCTTTACTTGAAAGTCTACTAGTGAATTACATGCACAGTTTGAAATCTTTCTCTGCAACAACCAACAAAGATACGCTGGAATTGTAATAAAAACTGATAATTAGTTAAACTTTGTATCATCTTTCAACGTGTACGTATTACCTTGTGTACTTTATATCAGATTTCTTGGTCACTATCATATTGTTTTATTGTTTCTAGGACTAGTTATCATGCTCATTCTGTAACAGAGTTTCTCTAATCAAATATTCTTGTCCTTCTGAACAATTTGCTCTTTTTCCAAGCAGGGCATCTTGGTGCCTGTACAGACAGAGCCCAAACATAACAAACGAGGACTGGGAGCTGTTAAAACAATTAAGCGAAAAGCTGCAAAACCTCAGGCTACAGATTCTGGGCACAGCGAAAAGGTCAGTTAGTTTTCCCTTGCAGGCAACTTTGAAATTTTATGTATGTTAATGATAAAAACTGTTCATCCAATGATTGATAAGAGTCTGAGCTGCTTTATTCTTGTAAGTCTGCATGAATATCTCAAGAGTTCTGGACTTGTGTTTGCTTTGTTATTTAGCCATGAGTTTTTTTTGTTTCATTTCGTATTGAAAGAAATACTTGGACGCTATTCTTGTTTTTATTGCTTCAGAGTTTCTTATGCACACTTTGTCTCTTAAGGCATAGAATTTATCTCTGTCTTACTCTGAATTTCAGGATGAGGAAGTACCAAAGAAAACCAATAAACTTTCCAAGAAAATGCGGAAGATGATCGAGCACGAAAAGCATTTACAGGAAAAAGAATTTGAACGTGCCTTCTTTAGAGAGTTCTGGCCTGATAATGTATAAAAAAGTAGCATTTTGTTTTCTTTTCTTCTTTTTTTTAACCTTCTAATGTTCAAACTAAAAGCTTCAAATATGTATGTAGTTAGAAGAAATTGGAATAACTCTGTTTCTTATTTATAGAATTATGCGCTCAAAACTGGACTACTTTTTTGACATAAGATGGGAAAAGATAATGAACTAAGTGCATCAGACAAGGCAAACAAAGGTTTTCCTTGTAAGATTCTAATTCATATATGTCCATGTACCTTGCATTGTTGCTACTCATGCTTCTAGCATGACTATTCCAATTTGAATTAGTGAAAAAATAGGAAAAAAAATACATGAATTTACAAGAAGATAACTGAAACAATCTAAGTTTTTTTTTGTAGATAAAAGATTAAAGACAAATATCTGAAGTTCCACTCTATTTTCAAGTGTTGCATGAGATTTGTATGTTGGATTCAGTTTTTTATTGAAGTAAAAGTCATTTTCTTTTCTTAAAAGTAAAGTTAATTAAACCATGTTTC